ATGTTTTTTCTGCACAACGTTGCCATTGCTCGCTTTGAAATCCTGAGTTTGTTAATCAAAAATTCGTCAAAGTTTTAAAAATAGGAATCGATCATAAAACAAATTTCAAATTTCAATTTGGTCTTCCCCATGCTCATATTCGTTGGAGGATTACGTTATTCAAAATTCGATGACTCTATGTACCGTTGTTTATCACAATACGAGAAATATACATACATTTATGCAGATTTTCATTATTTAATTTCTCAAAATAATGCAGGACTCTAAATTTGTGGCAACAGTTTGAAAAGTGAACCGACCATTTATGAGTCCGACGCAAATGCCAAAACGAAACTATAGTCCTTCGGGATTCAATCCCTTTGGACTAAAAAAAACTGTAGCTCAGCATTTACTCTTTGTTTAGTAAAATAGCTCATCGCTTAGTATAGCACATAATTCATAACTTAGTTAAAGCTTAGCATCTCAATATATATAGCTTGTAGAGTTCCTCCACTTGTATTCAAGTTATGCTGTGAAGTGAAGAATTAAGAACGATAAGGAATCATCGCTAATTTCGGCGACAAGAACCACAAGATGCGGGTAACTGACCCTTTATTATTCCAATAAGATTTAACAAAACTCCGCCTGGGAGTACCAAAGCCCACTGGGCTTGACTTAAGAGACTAAGAATTAAACTAAAACTAAGATTAACTAAAGAATATAGCCGAAGCTATCAAGATTCAAATCGAGTTGGCTTATTTGACTACGAAGCTTAGCAAGGGCCTGGACGGCCCGAGCGTAAAACACTTTGAGAGAGATGGCCCAAGGCATACGCGCGAATCAACTCGGATTCTCTCTAACTCAGTACTACTTCGTGGTTTATACCGCTTCTCATTAACTTCGCAGATCCAAAAACTACGTTCTGGCTGGAAGTAGAAGTTGAGTTAAGATTTGATAGGAAGGAACTTCATTTAACTGTTAATAAAATTAACATAATCCTTATACGGCTTATGGCCAGTTTACCATGGTCAATCAGTATAGACAGTTATAACTAGCGCCTAACTCCTCCTCAGTTCACATGGCCAGTTCTACTTAGCCATATCTCATTATAGAGTTCTTGCTCATACTTACATAGCTATCGCAATCCTTAGAGCTCTACTTTTCTCGCTAGCACATTCTTAGCTCAATATTCCTTCTTCATAGCCATAGTTCCTAGTATTATAGCTCAAGCAGTACACTTAATAGCGCTCCGCTGCTGAACTTTTCCCCGATCTTATAAAATGTCCCAGATCGATTTGTACTTACAATGGTCACCAGAAAAATGCCCACAGGAAAAATGCTCACAGAATAATCTCAAAGTATTAAACTATGAAGCTCTAGATCTTTCTCGAATTGTTGTATCAGAATTTTGCTAACTTTGAAGTGGTCAATTTGGTGCCGAGATTCTCTATTGCCTTAAATTACTACCTTCTATAATTCTAAATTTCTTATCTATGTTGGTGATGTTGATCTACATAAGGACTGTATTCTGAAGTTTGCTTTCACTACCTTTCTCCTAGTTGCTATTGCCTGTCTTTTGTCTGGAAATAGATGTTGGTGTGTTTAAGAGTGTATTATTTTTAATCGGTCCTAAACGGGTCCGCCGATAACATCGCGAGCAAACAACCAAGGCGAAATGTCGTGCTACAAAACATCGGGAGAAAACTCGCCAAAGAAAAACACGCAATCTAAAACATCGTGTACCAAATCGTCGTGGAAAATAAAGCGTTCGAAACTTCGCAGTTTAAAACATCGTCGTCGAAATATCGTGAAAAATAAAGTATCTACCATCATCGCGCATTTTTTTTCTTTTTTATAATTGTAAATGGATATTCCCTCATATTTGTGAGCGCAGATGTAAAAAGGATATTTTTACTTTCACAGTTTTTATTGAATATAAAGTTTTACGGAAAAAGTAAGAGGAAAATTAAGCATAGAAATTAAGCAACTTATAGATTCTTTTCATGAAAATACCACTAAAAAACTTTATAAAAAATGATTTATTATAAATTTTTAATGATTTACGTTTTCGTCCACGATGTTTTTGCCGCGATGTTTTCGGCTGTAACCGTCATAAACAGGATGTTTGAAGCGGATAGTACAGAAATGTTTATTTTCAAAAGATTTGCTGCTATGTAGTTTGTATTTACAAAAGTCTATTATAATATCGTTTAGTAATTCACGGTTTCAGTTATTATATTGTTACGAATTTGGTATTTAAAAAGTTAATGTTAGTTCAATTAAATTAATGGTTTTATTTCTCGCGCGTGCAGCGCGTGACGAATATTAAAAGAAGCTAAGCCGGAAAATGAAATACAAGAGCGCGTGCTTAAATAAAAATATCTCTTTTGATTTCGAGAAAGTACTGGAAAATTCTAGCGCGTGATTTAATCTAGTAAAAGGAGTTAAAAATCTCAGTTGTAGTATTTGCTTAGTTGTTGTTGTTTAGAAAACTGCTCTTGTTGATTGTAGCGAATTCGCGGATTAGCGTTCTTTAGCTGTTTTGAATTACGTTCTATTGGATTGAGTAGTTAAAAGATACTACTGGGGATATTGTAATACGTGATAATTTGAGAAAATTTAAGCATTTTTTTGTTATAATAATAAATTTTTTTTCATTTTTCATCGGACTTCTGCATTCATTTCATAACGAACCCGTACGCACGCAAACATATTAAGAGGAATTGCCTTCCTTTTATTCGAATTTACTAATTGATTAGATGTTTAAGTTTATTTAGGAGTTATATATTATATTTTCGTATTTAAATAAATATTTATTTTATTTGCTTATCTTCTAATGTTATATTATATTGTGTAACTTTATTTCTATATTTTTATCTTTTAGCAATAAAATTAATAATTTTCACTGTGTTTGTTCCATTTATCTTCTCCTCTCCTTTTCTTAATACAGTTTTTGAATCTTATATACCACGGAATTAAATAAGTTTTCTTTTTGCAATGTGTACCTAATCGGTTTAAGTATTGATCGATTAATCGATTAATTATTGTATGGGTGTTTCAACGTGAATTATTTATCGATAGGCTTATTTCCATGTGAGCTTTTTTCCGTGTGAGCATTTTTACATGTGAGCTTTTTTCCCGTGTGAGCTTTTTTACCCTGTGAGCATTTATGTGACCTTTATATGTAATTCCTGTGGGCTTTTTTCGTAGAACCACCTGCAACATAGCGTAACTATTTCGGCTAGAAATTTCCCATTCAAAATTCCGTATTTACTCGCGTAATAGTCGTACCGCCGTTTTGAAGCAGAAAAATTCGTCAAAAGTACACAATATTGTGTAGTAGATTTCACCGCATAATAGTCGCACCTAGACTTTCACAATGAAAAACAGACAAAAAAAAAATGCGACGGCTAATCTTCGGTTTTTGGTAACTTGGCGATTTTTTGGCGAAAATTTGGCGACCAACCCTGCTACAGCAACCTGCTAGTTTTTTTTTTTTTTTTTCCCTCAACATTTTTTTCCAACAATCTGCTAGCCGACTTACGCTTATGCTAGAACTTTTATGGAACAAAAGTGCTTAATCATGATGACGATTAGGTGGCGAAATTGGGAGAAAGTGCAGAATCGCCCACTGCTTGCCGCGTTTTTAAGAATTGCACGTACACGGTATCCATGTACACGTCGACCTATTTTCACTTAAAAAAACATCCCAGAATTGCACAAAAATGGCATTACGCACACTCTTGACCTTATCCATGTACACTGCTAAAGTCCTAGCTAGTAACCTTTATCGCCTTACCAAAATGTCGCCAAACTACCTGTTACCATATTCCAAAGATTAGCCAAATGGGACTACAGCGCGAATAAACATGATAGTGCTGAAAGAAACCAGTTTCTCTGAAAAATGTTTTTATAACATCACGCGTCCCTATATGTGATTTCTGGTGTGCTTTATTTATGTTGTTGTGCTTTATTTTATCTGGTGTGCTTTATTTATATATGCTGCCATATCCATGCTTTTGCATACACCTTGTAACATGGCAATGTATTATCTAGTGCCTAACATTAATTAGCTTTAACACTGTATTAAGTACCAAATTTGTATGCATGTTTATGTCTTATTGTATTAGCACAATAACTACGTATGGTTATCTAGATAAAGGCGTAAGTGGCGCTATACCAATTAACCGTTTTGGTAGAGGGGTGGTGCCCCCCCGTCCTCTGTCGCATGTGCTTTATTTAACTATGGCAAAGCATTCAACGGCTATCTGCCTAAGGGGAGGGATGCTTTCATGGAGAACGTTCTAAGGACAGCTGGCCTCGTATGCACGTTACACATGTGGAAAACCACGATAACGCCCGTGCAGCCAGTCCGTTCGTTGGGATTCGAACCTACACCGAACTACCAGTGTTCAGCGTTTTTACCGCTCGGCCGCTAGACGGCGTTTGTCGCTATATGTGATAACTCCCTTAGAACTGGACGAAACTATTTTGGAGAAGATTAAGGATCGTTGCCAAAAGCTCTCTCTTAAATTCATCAACTCGATTTATATATATCTTAACTGCTTTGCATACTGGTGGAAGCCGACGGAAGTAGAAGTGATAGTAATGATAAAAATAATAAGCGTAATAAACGCAAGAAATATTTTCGATAATACCATTAATTTTTCACATTTTCATTCTATTGTTTACATACTTTTATTTGTATTGCTTTCGAAAACATCGCTTATTTCGCCGAAACCTTCTATTTCTGTTAACTTTCGAGCACCACGAACTGAGTTTCCGCTTTCCTTTCTTCCCCGATTTTCTTTGGCGCTGATCCGGATATTTTCGTCACTGTTCTTGGCGCTTTTCTGGGAAAGTTTCGCCAAACTGATGTAGTAGAGTTGATTCATTTGTCTTTACATGCGTTTTCTTTTCATTAAATTATCAGTTGCTTCTCGACATAACAAAATGCTTATCCTTTGTTTCCGCAGGTGATTGTTGTTTCTAATCATTTCCTTCGTGAATTGCAGTATTCATGGAATATATTAACATAGTTTTTTATTCTTATTTTCTCAGTTTTTCACCACATCCTGTTTTACAACGTTCTTTGGATTTCTGAATGATATTCTACAAGTATTCTGCCTTTCGAATAATTTATTTTTAAAGTAAGGAAGTTACCTCTACCTAATTTTTTTATTAATCCTAATTTAGTTCCTTCATTCCAGATTGAGAAATAATTTTGAATCTTTGCTGTTGTAGAGCAACATAAGCCTAATAATTTTCGGTAGAAAAGTATTTGTTAATGTTCCATGTTAGCGACCATGCAAATAAATTAGCTGTTCTTTTCTCTTGTAACCAATATTCTTGTTTTTAACATAAATATAGTCAAAAATGAATTTTTAATTGTTTCATTTTATTTCGTTCTTATTGAAATAATTAGCTTAAGAAGTATATTTAAAAACAATTTTTAAAGTTCCCCCCTCCCCTTTTCAGCCCAAAAGGGAGGTTAGTTCCGAGTTAGTCTCGAAACGTGGAAGAACTTAAATGCGTTACATCACTTTTTAAACTGTTGCCACCAAAGATTTTCGCCTTGTATTATACTTAAAGAAATTAAATAATGAAGAATCTGCATGACTGTATGTATGTTTCTTGCTTTATGTAAAAACAGCGGTGCCTAAAGCCATCCAGTTCTGAATAAAGTAGCACAGGAAAATTCCACCGAATATGGGTACACAGGAGCCCGAATTTTGAATTTCGAATTTGCTTTATTATCTATTTCCTATTTTGTAAAGTTTTCACGAATTTTTTATTAACAAACTCAACGATTTCAAAGTAAACACTGGAAACTCTGTTCGGTATAAAGCATTTCTACCTACAACGCTCTGCCTGACAGGCTTTTGGAAATTCTGAAGATAAACTGTTTTCAAATATTTTCTAATTTTGCTGTTGAATCTAATTGGCTGTTTAGTCTATGGGGAGAAAACACCAAGAACTTGATATTTAAAAAATAAAGCAAACGCACAAAACATTAATAAAAACAGACAAAAAAAAAAGTTTTATAAGTTACACTGGGGAGGGGGGGGGGTAGGTTGAGAACTCAGTGAAAACGTAAATAAAACTTAACAAAGCATTTTCGGCGACCTTTAAAAATCTGAAACCTTTTTTTTTTTAATCATTCTTTACCGATGGCAAAAAATACGTAAAATACCGCTTTGTAATTAAAATTTGAATTTAAATAACTTTATTTTAAAATTAAAATGTAGCGATTAGATAGAAACGATGTGTTTGGGGAAGAAAAAAGAAAAATTATGCTTTTTTGTTAAAAGAGCGCGAGTGCGCTAAAGCTCCAAATGTGGTACTCCAATTGCCTCATAACAGCTATGAAACAAAAACGCCTCATCAGTAGAGTATTCACGATACTGAACTTGCGCGAGGTAACTGAATTTGTGAACCTGTCTGAATTTTTTAAGCGATTGGTTTGGTTCTTTTTTTTTTAATTCCTTGCACGAAATATTGTAATCGCGAAAAATTTCGATTATCAAATTTCAACGGAAATTTCCATTTTCACCGTTCCCGAATCCATTTAGATGACTTTTTTGCGTGACATCTGGATGTACGAACAGAATAAAGAATTTTTTTTTTTTTTTTTTTTTCCAGAACGGATGTAAAATTTGTTTAAAATGGGTTCAGAAGAGTTTTTTTTTTTTTTTTTTTTTTTTTTGTGATATCTGTACGTATGTATCTAGCATCTCTCAAAAACGAGTAGCGGTAGAACGTTGAATTTTTTTTATATGAGACTGCTATAGCATCTAGTTGTGTACCTTTCTTCTTTACTACAATCGGCAGAACCAAACGTGTGAACCCGCTTAAAAGTTCTTACCTAATCTTTATCTTCGCAATCGTTGAAATCGTAGTCATATATTTCCAGTTACGAAAGTGTTTTAAATGAAGAAAATATTCATCTTTGGGCAATATAAAATTTAAAAGGAGAAAAAATAATAATTTTCGACAAATAACGAAATCTAACTTTTAATGCGGAGTCCCAATTCCTGTACTTATGTTAGGGAAAATTTTATACCTGTCATGAAAAAACAAAATTAGAAGTTTGACTCCTATACGATAAAAACTGATCGAGATATTTAATTTCAGAATTTGCAAATTTGATGTCATTTTCAACTTCCTTTAGAGAGCGGTTAGAATTAATTTGAGAAAATAAGTTTAAAGGAAGTGTAGTGAAATTAATATGAAGTGAGTATAAATTAATAAACCGTACAAAGAAGTCATTGATGTCCACATCAGATTTTTTTAACTACAGCAAAACAGTCGAGAGCTATCTGCCTAAGAGAACGGATGCATTCGTGGAGGGCTTTCTGAGATGAACTGGCTTGAGCCAAAGTCACACATGTGGAAACCACGAAAACGCCTATGCAGCCAACCCATTCGCCTGCAATCAAATCTAGGTGGAATTCTCAGTGTTTAGTGGCTTCACTACTATACAGCTAGTGGGCCTTTTTTTTAAGAGAAAGCGGATCGTTGTTTGCATGGGGAAAACAACAAGTTTCCTTCTCCCTATGTACACGGCGATCTTTTTTCGCTTAAGAAAACATTTGAGAATTGTGCAAATTCGGCGCTGCGCACATTAAGCGTTTTATACATTATATATAATATACAAATGTAAAGCTTTATACATTGTAAGACTTTTACTATCTACTTAGATTTTTTTTAACATTTTAGTTAAAGTTTTATTATTTAATAGAACTGGCTCATTAGCGGACGAGCGGTAAAGTCGCTGAACACTGGTAGTTCGGTCCGAGGTTCGAATCCCGCGAACGGGCTGGCTGCATGGGTGTTTTCGTGGTTCTCCCCATGTGTAACGTGTATACGAGCCAGTTTCCCTTAGAAAGTCCTCCACGAAGGCATCCCTTCCCTTAGGGCAGATAGCCCTCGCGTGCTTTGCCATAATTAAATACACACATAGTTAATAGAACTGTTTTCCTTTGAGGGGGGGAACAGATATTGCTTCAAAATATGACGACGGTTTTCCCTTGTCGATTTAGCCACCACTAAAATCGAGAAATGTCATTTAATTCATCAAGGTCAATGGCCAAGACATCATGAGCGCCTGTCGCCTGTCATTTAGCCGGGGCGTTGGATACCTAATAGTTCGATTTTCCCCCAGATCTGTCCCAATTTTGATGAAAAGCAAGCAAAGGATATGTGTTCCTGTGTCTCCTATCCCTCTTTCTCTAGTATTAACTTATCGAGAAGACTTTCGGTTGGACAGCGTTTTAAATGTCCCATACCGCAAAGACATTACGCATTTACAAATACCCATGCTTTGCTCGGAATTCGAATACAAGGTCAAGGTTACACCAACTGGCAGCCCAAATCCACCGCATAGTTGGTGCATGTTTTTCCAAAATTATTTTGTAATATCTCCGTCGACATAGCCAGGTTAAAATAAGTAATTAAAAGGAATAATTTTCACAACGTCTGCAAGACGTGCGCAATCTTGTCTTGTGTGTCGAATTGAGAAACCAAAGGAAATTCCTCAAGTACTTTGTTATTGTGTTCCGAATAATGTAACTCAAACCCTCGGCAATATTTTCCTCAGAAAAATGTATGCAATTTGTTGCAACAATGCGAAGAAGATTTAAATTACAGTACAGTGGATGTTTCAAAAAGAGTACATGCCTAAATATATCTTAAACAATTGTTCAGAAACACGTAGTTTCAGACTAAGAGATGATTTTCACATTACGACAATTTTGGTCATGTGATACCTGTTAATAAAAAATTATGGGACTCAATTTTTTTTAATCCTAGCTACACATGCAAGGTTACTCTTCTGAAAGGGGACTTGAACATGAACAAACATGAGCGAACTTGCGGAAACTCTAAATACTTGCCATTTATTTATAAAAAGAAATACTGTGTACTTGTGAATGCATTCTACCAATCCGTATACAAGCTCGGATGCAAGATTTGGATGTGAAGTTCAGCCAACGTTAAAAAACCGCATATAAGCTGAATTTAAATTCACCCTGTACGGCTGATTATTATGCATCACCCAAAGGGGAAATTATTCGTCCTCTCTTTTATTTTGGCCTATCAAAATGCCAAGTTGACTCTCAGCTTCCGATCGATTAATTAAGTTTAGTTTGGTTTATTTAATTTACGGCAAAGCGTTCGAGGCTGTCTGCCTAAACGGAAGGATACCTTCGTGGACAACCTTTTGAGGAAAACTGGCACGTATACACGTTGTACACAAGGAAAACCACGAAAGACCCTTATGTACTAGCTGTTCTCCGGGATTCGAACCCGGGAATGAATTACCAACGTTCAGCAACTTTTACCACTCGGACACTGGTAGGCCGATAAATAATTATAATAGAATTACAGTTTGATTTGTTTTGATTACGGAAAAGTATACTAGGGCTATCTGCCTAAGGGAAGGTGTGCCTTCGTGGATGACTTTCTTAGGGAAACCGGTTCGTATACACGTTACACATGAGGAAATCCACGAAAACGCCCATGCAAGCAGCCCGTTCGCGGGATTCGAACCTCAGACCAAAGTACCAGTGTTCAACGCTCGCCACCTGGTGGGCCAGTAGGATTATAGAAGGAATGAGGATTTCTGGTGTCAATAGTTTCTTTTGTTTTCTATATTCTCCCAGCCTTTGCGCGTGCGCATTATTTGGCACTTTGGCAGTAGCGTGGCTAATTTTGTTTTGATTCTCAGCTGTTATTTGGGTAATCAATCTCAAGCAAATTACGAGATTTTTCTCATTCATCACGTTGTCAATTTTACGAGTAAAATGCAATTCTTTATGTCTGTTATGTACAAGGAAAGTTGCTAAGATGTTCATACGGAAAAGGATTGATATTATACCAGCTCAGAGGTTGAAGCTAAAGGGCGCAATTATCTAGTATGGAGGCTCACCAAGAGTGGGTTTTGGTTTAGATTAGAAAGGTTTCAGTTCTCGAAATTTCAAGTTCAGGTTCCGAATTAGCTACGTCATAAGCGTTACGCAAGCCCGAATGATCTAGAAATGACGCAGTCCAGAAAAGTTATTACGATTTTTTAGAATATAGAGGGGGAATTATGGGGTTACGCTAGTGTAAATTATAATTTTGAATTATATATACACATATACATACATAA